CTGCCCATTTTGTTTTGGTGGGCCATATGGAAGCACTTGAGTGGATTCCCACAGCAGTCTACGGAGCTGCCCGGTTGTGTTCGCTCACCAGAGGATGCCTCTGGGCCCTTCAGTGGAAGCGCCCAGGCTCACCCTGCCGCTGCCTCTACTTGAATGTTGGCTCCTGTAGCTGCAGAGCACGTGACACAGCCACCGTAACTGGGTCAGAGTGTCAGGGAGGCCTCTGCCTGGGCTGGCTGTGTAGCTGTTGCTGAGGAGGGCCTCCGGGTACAGAGAATTGGGTGCCACTCCCTGGTTCTGAGCACTGCTGGGGACCCTCGGAGCTCTGCCTGCTCCTGTGAAGAGGACTGGCGCTGCCTGGGGAGCCATCTCTCACTTGGGGTTCAAGCCCTGTGCTTTCAGACACCCTGGCTTTCCCTGTGCCAATGCATGGCCAGACATACCTGCCCACCCTGCTTCACCCTCCCAGGTCTAAGTTCTGAAAGGAAGCACAGAGGGCTTTGCTCCTTCATTCTAGCTGCACGCTGAAATCAACTATGAGGCTTTCCCTCTGTCCAGGGCTGGGTCGGAGATGAGGTGAGCAGGACTTGGGGCGACTGTGGCATCTATGCACAGTGTCATGTGAATTTCCAAATGACAGCTGAGGCTCAGAACCACTGGCCTAGTGCACTGCAGACAGACTTCGGGACTTTATATGTGACCTTGGACTGGGGGCCACGATCACCTGTGGGCATCTTGGGATTATTCACAACTCGGAGGTCAGGGAGGGCACTTGCATTCTCAGAAACTCACAGGGATTTGCACATCACAAAGATGGACTTTATATGATGTTGGATGCAGAAGAACCGGCACCCTGAGCCTTCTTGCAACTGGACATCTAAATTACAGCTCTGGTTTAGGCTCTGGTTTTGCCTGTAAGTCCCACCCCAGGTCTTAGCAGAGATGACCACCACTCGAGGCTACTGAAACTTAGGCTTTGCTTCCTCTCCTGGGCCTTTCAAAGGCTGTCCTTAATTTTATATTGTAAAAATCAATATATAGGGGTCCTATTTAAATTAGGTCGGGAGACTAGGAGAGTGCCCACACACGAGCAATCTGCACACTACCTGCCCTAACTTGCCCTGCCTCTCTGCCAGGAAGGGATGTTGCTTGCCTGCCCCAGCAGAAGGAAGAGGGAGTGCCTCTCTCATAGTAACGGCCCTTCTGGAGGTTACATAAAGGGGTGCTGCCTTTGGTTCTGGGGACATGCACGTGTGTCCTGCCATAAAGCTCCGTTTTCCAAGTTGCCGTTTCGTTGTTTCTGAATAAGGCCATTTTGTTGGAGAAGTAACTACTTTTTTGTTTGCGGTCAATAGTATTCAGACTTTACTTTCATTTCTTAAAGAGGGGTTCTTACCTGATATAAGCACCAGGGCCCAAACACAGGACCTGCCCCTCCCTGTGTCTCACAGTGAATGTCCCAGTAGGGAAGTGACATCTCTGACAGCTACTGGACATGTTTCTGGTGCACCAGTGCTTCACCCTTTCCTCTTTCCATTCAGCTTCTGGTTCAGTTATGCTTTGGAAATTCTTGGTACTTGAGCTCCAGCTGAACACCCGACTGCCTGCCATGGCCACCAGGATGTCCATCGCCTCAAGCCTAAAACGCTGCACATCCCTGTCTCCTACATCCCTTGCTTCGGCTGATGGAGAGGCTGGAGAGACATTCCCGATTCCCCTTCTGCTCCTCCTGCCGCACCCTCTCCTCAATACAACTGGTCATTCTTCTCCACTTTTGAAACATGAAGCTTCATTTCCCTTTTCTCCATACCCATAACTGAGTCAGTCCCAAGTATTGTCATAATGTCCTGGTTTGCAACCCACCTCCCCGCAGCTTCTGCGGGATGCTTCTGTGAGCATGAAAATCTGATATGGCAACTCCTCTGCCTCGAACATTCTGCGGCTCCTGACATCAAGGTGAAATCCTTAGTGAAGCCAGCCAGCTCTGTGAGCTGGCCTGGCCTCCTCTCCAGCTGCTCCCCTCCCCCTTGTTCCAACCCCCACAGGGCTGTGCACGTCCCCACCACACTGCTACACTCTCCATCACTGTGAGTTCGCGTGCACTGGCCTCTCAGCCTGTGTGCCTCTCCGTGCATTAGTCCACCTGCAAAACTGCTGTCCTCTCTGTGAGACCCCAGCCCGGCTTTGCTGCCTGTGAAACTCTTTCTCTCCTTCTCAAAGCCAGTTGATGACTCTCCTTTCATTCACCCCGACCCCCACACAGACCTCTGCTGTAGTACTTGGATCACTGATGTAACAATCACACATTCCAACCCCCACCCCCACATCTTCTCTCCTAAAAAAAAAAAAAAGCCGGCCTTGAGGATATGATGTGTCTTTTTTATCTCAGCATCCTGTGGTCTGCCTGGCACATCACAGGAATGTAGTACACTTTTATTTTTTTTAAATAATAGACTGGAAATTCTGATGATTTGGTTGTCTCTCAATTTGTAACACAACTGCAGAATTCCAACTACCTCCTCAGAGGTCACAGAAGCATCACTTACTTTTTTTTTATATTTTTATGTTTTTTTTAAAGATTTATTTATTTATGCATATGAGAACTGGGGTACAGGCCAGAGGTGTGGCGGGTGAGAGGACTCACCAGAGACAGAGTGGGGAGCAGAACAGGCAGACTGATTGAAATACGCTGCTGAGGGGAGCAGCGGGTGAGTCAGGCGAGGTCTACTGAGCTGTGTGGGTAAGCTCCCTGGCCAGGGATTGAACTTGTGCTGCAGTGGCTGTGGATAGCTTCATAGATTGCATCTTAATCCCCTGCACCACCAGGGAAGCCCCTCATTTACTTTAAACAGCAAATCAATTTGAGTAGTCAGTACTCTGAATAAACACACTGACCTTTTATCATTTTTCATTTGCAGACCTGGATAAGTTCCACAAGTGAGAGGAAATTCTTATTCAATAGCTAATTATGCCGACCTTTGGTTTTGCATTTTTCCTTAATATGAAACCCACTTTAGAGTCTCAAAGGAAAAGTTACAATTCACTGAGCCCTTGGAGTATGTCATCCCTGCATTTTAGGTGCAGTGGGTCCTCAGATAATGTTGTTTTGCGATAACACTGATGAGAAGAAAGCCCAGATTATATTGACCAAAATGACATCACTCAAAGACCTGATTTCCTTACATGTTGTTTTGCTTAAAATCTGAGTTTCCAAGAACCTATGGATGATGTTAGCTGAGGACTCACTGCATATCAAGTGTTGTTATTCTTTTTTACACTTTAAAAGGACAGGATTACTAGGAAAAGGGCAGGAGGAGAAGGCCTTGCACAGACACAAGAGGGCAGAAAGAGCTGCTGCTGCTTTGCAAAGGGAAAACATTTATGCGAAGAAATACTGCATAGTCACAGGTGGGCAGGAGAGCTACTGAATCGTCAACGTTCATTAACCCCTCCATTAGAGAAATAAAGCGACATTTAAAATACTAGTAAAATAAATTGAACACACATGCATACTTGTTACCACGTTTTTCACCTGCTGGATTTTAATGTCCTCCACTGCCAATTACCCACGTTGGCCTCGGTCTTTTACCAAAATGGAAGTAAAGAACTGGATCTGGTCATCGGTCACCATGATTCTGTTAAAGAGTCTGGACTATTCTTGGTACTCGTAAGCAGAAAAAAAGGTCAGGCAGGTTGAAAAGAGAGGACAGTGCCTATGGACGAGTGGAGGGAGTGGAGAGAAAGCTGGGGAAGGCCATATGGGAAGAGGAGCAGAGGAGGAACAGGAAGGAGGAGGCAATGAGGAGAAGTAGGGACTCTGTGACCAAGAAAAACAAAGGACAAAAGAAGAACGTGAAGGCCAATTTCTGTCTTGCAGCATATGAATGGGAACTGGAGGGGTGGAGTGGGGGCAGAGAGAGGGTCATACACGCCACCCACCCACAGAGCCAGGTTCCTGCCGCATCTCTGTCGAGGCAGCGCTTCTCCATCAGCGGATCAGTGTCCTGGCTTAGAATTTAACTGACTGATCAGTGGAGTGAAAACTCCCTGCCGCAAGGATGTCTTTTCTACCCATTTAATGAAGAAGCTGGGTAATGGCAGATGTTAACTGGATAGAGCAGGAAAGCTCAGATATGGAGTGTGGGTCTCCACCGGCTCATGGATAATGCAGCCTGGAAAGCACTCTGGAACGACACCAGGGACTTAGCTGCTTGTCTCTCCCTGCCAGTGTGGTTTTGGTAGACTCCTCATCTGTCTCCCAGGGTTTGAGCTGCATGCCATCTCTCCCCTGCTCTCTGCCAGACGACCGAAATGACAGCACTTGCCTCAGAGAGATTTTTCCATTATAATTTTTCAATTTGTTCTGGTCTGAAAAATGTGTGTAAATGAAAACAGAAAATTCAAGCACTGCGTCCCTTCGAACATTCTGTTTTGTGTTTACAGAGACTGCAGAGCCCTCTCTGCTTTCCTCTCTCTTTGGCAAGTGTCTTTATTCTTCCCAGATTTCTGGTCACTTCTAATATGCCATAAAATATTTACTGCATTTGCAGGAATGCCTGTCACTATTTTTTTTTTCACTTCTTTTTGACCTGCGAGCTTTCCTTTCAGCCACAGCCCTCCAAAAAAAAAAAAAAAAAAAATAAAAAAATACACACAAAAAACCACACACAAGTCTTCGAGAGAACTCAGATCAGCCTCACTACTCAAGAGGGATGTTACTGAACTTTCCCAAGCGCACAGAACCCCTCAAAGCTCTTTCACCCACCTTCTTCTCAAGGGCACAGCCAGACTTCTTACCTTAAATACTAACAGCTTAGGTTTCCTTAGTGATTGGGAAAAAGAAAATACCCAGGAACGCCTAGACTGGATTACTGCAGAGTAATTTATATACATCCAAATTAGGGGGGGTTTGTGAGCTGGGGCCCTCAGAGGGAGGGTACACACATGACTTCTCCCACCCCCTCCTGTCAGTCCAACAGTCACAAAGGAAAGGCACTCACCTTCCTGGGCTTCACCTTATCATGGTAGTCGTACTGGAAGATGCCTTTGTAGCTCAGTCCCAGCCACCACGGTATTCCCTGCTTGTCCTAGGACATCAAGAGGAGTGTCAGTAAAACGGGAGAAGAGTAACAGGATCTAGAGGGGGTTACCTGTCTCATTTCAACACAAATGAAAATGCAAATTCTTCAAAACACACGGAGCCCATCCTTAACAGATGTGCCCTCATGTCTCATGATGAACAGCTATGTGACGGGGGCCCACTTCTGTCCCTAACCTGCCTGTTCCTTCCCCTTTTATGAATGAGTAGCAGATACCTCATGCTTTCTCTCCTTTTAGACTTTAGGTTTTTAACCCTGAAGCCCTCACTCACCACAAGTGGAAATCTGAGAGCTGCCCAGCATTCTAATAAAAAGACGTTCTGGGCAGAGAGACTGTCATCAACTATGAGAACGGCAAGGAACTGCATGGAGACTAAAGAAGGTAACTCCTCTAAAATATATTTCTTAAGATTTTATATCTTAGGGCAGTTTTAAGTTCACAGCAAAACTGAGAGGAATATACAGCGTTTTCCCATCTATCCTCTGCCCCCACATATGCACAGCCCCCCATTATCAACACCTCTCCGCCCCCCACCAGAGTGGTGCATGTGTTGTAATGATGGACCTACAGGGACACATCATCACCCAGAGGCCACAGCTGACATTATGGCTCACTCTTGGTTTTAGAGATTCTATGGGTTCAGGCAAACGTGTAACGACATGCACCCACAATGACAGTATCAAGCAGCGATTTTCACTGTCCTAAGACTCCTCTGTGCTCTGCCTACTCATCCCACTCAACTCCAGCCCCTGACTACCACTGATCTTTTTTTTTTATCATCTTCTTCACAGTTTCCCGTTTTCCAGAACATCATATAGTTGGAATCATACAGCATGTAGCTTTCTCGATTGGCTTCTTTCACTTAATAAGATATAGTTAAGATTCCTCTCATTTTAATTGTTTTTTGCTTCTGATTTTTTATCTTTTTTTATCTTTTTATATTTTATTTGATATAAATCTTACATCATTTTTCATTTGTGCACAATGATGCATTTTCATTTTGGTTATATTCCCCATACAGAGGAATTAAGTTTCCTCTCATTTGAAAGACACAATTTAAAATGCTGAGTTGGTGTGTCTCTATTCAGGACTCCCCCACACCCACCTCTTTCCCCACCAGGCCAAAGGCAGTGCAGGCAGGCCAGGGGCTCCCCATGAGGTCCTGCTCGCCTTAAGAGGACAGCTGTGAGCCGGGCAGGGTTTTGTGACTTAAGCTGTTGGACAAATTAGCAAAATGGAAGCTTAGATGTACTGGGACTGAGAAGTTCAAAGTCCCTCTGCATTTGTTGCGCAGACAGTAAGTTGTAATTCTACATTCAAATAGGATGACTCTGAGCTGTTAATTAAAGCTCTCAAATGCTAGGATTTGATCCTGGGCATATCAAGCAGCTTTTCCTAGATTTAGCCTAATAGCCATATCTATGAATAACCTAACACACCCCATTGTAGATGTCTTGAAGGCTCATAATTGGCTTCAAGCTTTTCAAATATTTGTGAGGCATGAATTATTTCAAGGCAAGCATAAAGATAAAGGACAAAAGAAATGAGCTGAATTTTTAGAAAAATTTTGGGGTATATGATTTCTTAAAGAAAACTTCTTTTAAAGGTATAATCCCGGCCTCCCAGGTGGCGCAGCGGTTGAGCGCTGGGTTGCGAAGCTGCCTGCGGCCTCTGCGGTGCCGGTTCAATCCCCGGCTGCTCCCCGGCCACCTGAGGAGGGTCCCACATGGCGCGCAGACATCTCCTGCCGCCCGCTGCTCCCCTCAGCAGTGTACTTCGGTCCTTCTGCCTTCTCTGCTCCCCACTCTGGCTCTGGTGAATTCTCTCACCCTCCCGCGCTTCTGACTGTACCCAGTGCATGTATAAACAAACAAAGAAACAAACAAATAAATAAATAAAACATGCCTCTATAAAAAAATTATTAAAAAAAAAAAAAAGGTATAATCCCCCATCTTTGGGGGATTATAGTTCAGTGATTTTGGAAAACAGAACAAGAAGCAACTCAATACACCGCAGCTTCCGAAGGAGTCAGGAACAGTCATTCTTGCACCATAAAATACAGCACCCCTGGAAACCTGAGGCCCAGACAGTGAGTCTTGTCATGATTGGTTCAGGCTTGCGTGGTTCATGTGCCCTTTTCCAAATAAGTAGGAGAACAATTATTTATGCCTAGAAATTCCAAGAGCCAAACACCCAAGTGCATTTCGCACTCTGAAAGTCACAAGCTTGCTTCTGGTCTCTAACAAACGACAGGAGAACATATTTCTAAAGGTTACTGGAAGGCAGAAGCATACATCAGAGGCAACCTTTTTCCAAGCTCCAGAAAGAAATACAATATAGGTTTACACAAGTAAAAGAGTAAATGAAGTCTCATCTCAAGCAAACCTGATTATCTACCAAAATCTACCTCTCATTGTCTTCCCACAGCTAAGACTTTAGTATGGGGAATGGGAGAAACAAGTATCCCAGATTCCTATTTTTGGGAACACAGATCTCCTTGGCTACGTATCACTATAAGATATTTCCACAACTGAGGTTAAGTCTCACAGTTTGATTATGAAATGCTTCTCATAATACTGTCAGGGACTACTATGGGGTCCTTGTTTCCTTTATGGTAACAAGATGGCAACACCGAAATGACTGCAGTTTGCTGAGCACTGGCAGCAGTTTAGTGGCTTTTGAACAATCTAGTTTTCCCCTGGAGAATTGTGACTTTAGTGGTCACATCACAGGAAACAGCCTTCCACAAGGGTAGTCTCCTGGAAGAACTCACAAGAGGTAGGAGACAATCCAAAGACCAGGTCATACTTCCCATCACAGACTACAGTATAGTTTTTTTTTTTTTTTTTTTTTTTTTTAAGGAGGCATGCTTTATTTATTTATTTGTTTGTTTGTTTGTTTGTCTGTTTGGTTACACATGCACTGGGTACAGTCAGAAGCGTGGGAGGGCGAGAGAATTCACCAGAGCCAGAGTGGGGAGCAGAGCAGGCAGAAGGACCGAAGCACACTGCTGAGGGGAGCAGCGGGCGGCAGGAGAGGTCTGCGCGCCATGTGGGACCCTCCTCTGGTGGCCGGGGAGCAGCCGGGGATCGAACCGGCGCTGCAGAGGCTGCGGGCAGCTTCGCAACCCAGCGCTCAACCGCTGCGCCACCGGGAGGCCCGACTACAGTATAGTTTTTTAGAAGGTCAGGGATGGTGGTTTTATGAGTCCTATGAATGATGGAGAAGAAGGGATTAGAGGTTTCTTCAGTGGGAAGAGCTTTAATAAGACATCAAGAAGAATTCAACCACTACAGGCTTTAAAAAATCCTGAATTGAGGTGCTGGGTGAGACCAGAGTGCCCATAACTGGGATCTGCAAATGTAGTTCTAGTACTTGTTTCCATTATGAAAATGCATACATCCAACTACTCAATTCAATTCTCCGTGAACATTTACTGGGTAAATATTTACTGACCATCTACTATGTGCCAGGCACCATGCTGGGTTCCAAAAATATTTAACAAAATATAACACATGGTGTTTGCCATGAAGACTGAAGTTTAGCAGAAGATACAGGCAATTAACTATACACTAGCGACATGCCAAGTGTTAGGCAGGCTGCCAGGAATGACACAAAGATGAGTGAAACATGCCTATGTTGTAGTCTAGAGAAATTAAAAATATAGTTGGGTGGAAACATGGGGACAGAAACTGATGGGAAAGCAAGAGACTCTGGTTGGCTGGTAGAACTGCCTTAAGTTTAGAAGTGTTTTCTGCTCTTTTGGGCAGCGACTTAAACTTTTCATGTTGGGTAAACTAAGGAAGGAAGGGAAGTTCTCTTTTCTCATCATAGAAGAGGTTACATGGGGGCATGACTATGATTTCAAAGCAGAGATCCTAGTTTGGCGTTTATGGTAAGTGGATGAGAACTTAGAAAGGGGCCCATGTCACAGTGAACTGCCATCAGAGCATTTAAGAGGACTGTCCTGACTTCTTCCATGCCCTTGGACTCAAGTTGTCAGCTACTCGGTTTTTCTTTTCTAAAGTTGCCTCTGTGGCACTTGGCCACCATGAAAAACATCAATTCTGCTTTAAGTTTTTGTTCTCTACAGTATTTAGATGCAATCTTTATACTTAGAGAGACTCAGGAGTCCTCATCTCAGGATTCTTCAGAGAACAGAGGAAGTAGCAACTGATTTTATCCATTTCACTAAAGGGAAAGTGAGGTATGGAGAGGAAATGGATCAAGTCTCACTACACCAGGGGTAAAGTTCCATTGTCTCAACTCTCTGCAGCATCAAGTCCTCCCTACGAAGTCTTCCAACCTCACCCCAACCCCCCAAATCTTCAGTAAAATTAAAAAGAAAAAAAACGAGATGTGGTTTTGTCTGGTTTGGTTTTTTAGGGCATGCTTGGCAATCTTCACCAACTGAGCTCACTTACCTTCACTGCGTAATAGTGAACCCCATAGGTTGGAAGAGACTCCACGATACTCATGTAGCTGGGAAGACAACACACAGACACACAAGAGTGGTTATTTGGTGGAACTAGAATCATATCCCATTTGTGTGCGTGTGAGATAATGTTTCCAGAATGTTTATTTATTGAACCATCACCCCCAGGAGACATGTCTTTCTGAGCAGAACCGATCCATCTTGACATGTGCGATGTAAACACGCACAACCACAACCTCAGGGGCTCTAAGAGGGGTCACTTACTTGACAATTGCTTGACCTCTGGTCTGGCCATTCAGTTTCTTGTAGTGTTCAATTACTCGGTCTTCACTAGATTGAGAAGAAAAAGACTCTTATTACAACTGCCCAGCACCCTGCCAGCAGAAAGTGCTTCTCCTGAGCCTGAGCAACCTCATGTAAGGCTCCCAGGGGCCAACAGTTCCTGGAAAAATGATTTTTCCTGAGAGGGAATTCCAAAACTCAGTCTAAGTGAGATCCTCGGGCTATAGATTTACTGAAAAAACAAATGTGCTTCCCACTCAGAAGCTTTGCTTTCCCATTATCCTGGACATATAATCAGTGACACGATGAGAGCCCATGGTGTTGGCCCCATTCAAGAAATGATATTGGGGAAGAAGGAAAATAAGCAGCAAGCAGTTCCTCAGTTGGGAGGGACACAGAATGAGAAAAATGAAGAGGAAGCATAGAGGCAACCTTGGGGATGGCAGGGAAAGCAGCTGCAGACAGAGGGCCTCATGCCCCACCAGCTCAAGAGTCAAGTCCAAAGGCCTTGCCTTCTGACCTGGTCATGCCACCTTGGAACCTATTTCTCACTCTTCTGTCCCCTCCCTACTTTCCTCACATAGACCAGTGGGTTCCATAGCAGGAGATGATCTTGGGATGGCCCTCAAGTCCTCCTTGGTTGAGATCCTCTTAGTTATTATTCTTCTTCCAGAATTGATCCAGAGCCTTCTTTCACTTACATATTCTTTGTTAGTTAGGCTATTTGTGCGCAGGGGATATAACATGGTCTACAAGCTCATTTCCTACTAATTGGGGATCATTTATGGATCTGCCAATTGCTTTGTTCCTCCTCAGTGAGTATCTCTTCATTTCAGTATTCTGAAATTGTGTGCATTTAAGATCATCTGATTCATCGCAAGAAAGTGTCTTTACAAGTTTCCAGAATGGGGTGGGGAGAGGAGGGGATGCTGGCTCATTACAAGAGGCCACTCGTAGTATCACTTCTCAGTGGAATGTTCAGGAAAGGGTAGATTAGCTAAAGTTCTCAGCTCCTACACACTATGGAAGTTCTGCTTTGAGTGTGACAAAGTCCTCTCCTGACAGAGTTCCCCAGGAGAGCCTTCTCTGGGGTGGACACCGGCCTCTCCAGTCTTTCAGATTTGTGTCCAGGATTGTTCTCGCTTCCTCCACACACATCCACTAAAGCAATGGCTGGTTGGTATGTTTCCTTCCACATGAGCTAGAATTTTGGGAGGTCTGCTCTGGGAGAAAGAGCCTCTGAGTCTCTGGGGTGGGGAGATGATGACATAGTGCTGGAGCCGTGAACACAAATTAGGCTCAGGAAAAACAACAGTGAGTGTCAAAAAATACTATCAGGCAGCTGTTCAGTGGTTTCCTGACTACATAGCCCAACCACTGGGACTCATCTCCCCCGACAGCTGCAGGCATCTGCGAGCCCTGCTAGTGCTGTCTGAGGCCATCTCTGAGGCCAGGAAATCTACCTTCTCCTGCCACAGCCTGTCCTACTCCTTCTGCCCCAATTTAAACACCAGGGGCCCCACATGTGATAACACTCATTGGACTGAGAACCAAGTCATTTTGCTCTTAACCTGCTCCCACCCCATATCCGGAATTTACAGATGGCTCCCGTGCACCAAACTTTGCAGACAGTTTCCATATTTACTCAAATTTATGGCAGGGACTCAATGGCATAGCCATTAGAAACCCATGAGCCTGAGTAAAGGGAATCCTAAAACATTATTTGGAGGACACACAGTTCTTTGAAAGAAAAAGACAGCGACTAAAGCTGACCATGCTCTGACAACATAGTGAAGCTGAATTATCTCTCTGCAGACAAGGGGCCCAGGAAAGTCACGGGAAATGCATAGGGAACAAGGGGATGGCGATATGGTCCCCTGTCTTGAAGGACAGTAACTCTGGGCTAGGGGAGGGGGTATCCCAGCACACCCCATATGGGTGGAACGGGTAGTCCAGCATTTGCAAGCCAGGCTTGAGAAGGAATCCAGGTCAGGCCTCTGTCTGGTTCTGTGGCTGTGGGCACATCTTCTAACTTCCTGCCTCAGCAGCCTCACCGATGGGAAATCACAAGGCGTGAGGAGTCTGAGCTTGCTAAACACTTGGGGAAAATTAGCAGAAGGAATGATTGCATGATTACTCAGCATTATTATGCACCTTTCACTATGTTCTAACTGCATCGTGAAACTTTCTATTTCCTCTGTTAATTACAGTCTGAATTAGTTCAGTGCGGTTCATTCATTTTACAGTTGGGGAAAGTGAGGCAGCAGGAAGCAACTCAAGTGTCCCAGACTCTCATTACCTCACAGTTGAAGACTTGGCTGGATTCTACAGCCCACTGCTGCACGCATGGGCCTGTGATACCCCCCACTCATGTGGAGGGGCTCCCTGTGTCTTTTTTTGACCTGACGGTCGCCATCCTATCTGTGGATGCCAACAAGAGGCATGCCCAAGGACAGCGGGTCCTCCCTTCAGGAATCATTGGGGCAATTTGTGGCTGAGATGTGAGGAGCAGGAAAGGGTCTTCACCAAGAAAAGATGATGCTCATCTAGTGGTGAGTGATGTTGCTCATCAGAGAGGGAAGAGCATGAACATGCTTTGTGGGTGCCCACTCTCTCCTTTCTGTCATCTATAGGTGCACAACAGCATTTATCTCTTTCCTGACATTTTGTTTTCTGAAAATCTAAGTAAATAAATTGCAATACAAAGCCAACCACAGTAGACAAGCATAATGAAGCAAGCTAAAAAGCCGGTCTATTTTTTAAAAGCAATGCTCTAGCAAGATGTCCATGCTGCTGGCTTGTTTGTATATACACTAGTCTGTGGAGCTTGAGGCAGCTGCTTTGAAAACATCCCTCCCTTGGTCCTGCCATCTTCCCAGTGCATTTGCACAGTGGCTTGGAGGCCTGTGGGTCTACAATAGGCCGAGGAATGTGCTGGCCTGGTCACAGATATAGGATGTTCTGGTGAGAGAGCAGTAGATGTGGATGAAGATGATGTTTATCCTGACAGAAGAGAAAGTGTGAGCATGAAGGAAGCAAACTCAGCGAGGAAGTACTGGATTCTAGAGCTATCCTCTTGCATGTCTATTTCTCCACTGTTGGTTTCCTGAAATGAATGGCTTGGAGGATATGGAATATAAATCCCAGGGGGCATTAGGAATTAGGGAGGAGGTGATAGGGTTCTGTGAATGAGGAAGCAGGAATGTCACTTGCCTATGTTCATGGGTGCAGAGAGTCAGGCTGGAAATTTGGAGTTTGACACATGCAGGTTCAACAGATTCTGTTCTTTGAGACCAGATTATAATGATAAAAGCCACTAATTTATTGACATCTGTGTTACTAAGAGTGGCAACGAAAGAGTTTAGGGGGATAAAATTAGGGACAACAGTACACTAAAGGCACTCCCAGCCATGGGAGCTCTACCACCAAGATCACCTGGGGAAAAGTGACTTGTGGACCAGAGTTTAGTCCCCACATGACTTTGGCATCGAGACACGCCCCGCCCAAGCTGAAGAAACCTCCTGGCCACCCAAGGGCTGAGCCACTAGCCTGCTGACTAAGAAGAGTCAGGCAAAGTGAAATGTCAGTCATCCAGGCATTTTGTAAAACCTATTACAGAGGTGCTAACAATATGTTACAGTTGATCAGGATCTGCTTGATCTATGATTCTAGCCTTTTTCTGTTTTATAAGAGCATGACTGCTAAGCAGTCAGAGAAGCTATTAGGGAGATAGCACTGTGGTTTCCGGGGTGCTGGGGGCACTGACCGGTCCAGCAGGATTTCAACTTCCCAGGAACGCAAGTCCCATGCTGTTGTGATCAAAACCACAATCTGGGAACCTCTCAAATGCCCGATTCATTCAGAATCAGTAATTTAGGGCCCGACAGATGAACTACGGCATAATGTTACAAGGCTGCTAAATCAGGAAATGCAAAACACTGTGGGAAAATAAAAGAATCAATCTCCTCTTTACAGAAAAAAAAAAAACCTGTAGTTCTCCCACATCTCAAAACCTCACACATCCTGTCATCAAATGACAAGGATTCCAAAACGAAACTTGAGCAGCACATGAAAAGATCGCCAAGGAGGCAAAGCTTCCAAAGTGAAATTTTAGAAGGTTTTTTTTTAAATAAGGAAAATGAGAAAAAGGAGGGATCTCACACATACCGCACCATTTAAATAAAGGCAGCAAACGGTTTCATGAAGTCCCAAGTCACTTAACACAATTTGGGGTGGCTCTCTGATTGGGGTCCAGTGAAGGTGAGACTGGTCCCCTGAGCCCCTGGCACATGGGGAAGGGCAGGCTCCGGGCACCACTCACCAGTAGGCCAGGGAAGGGTGCTCCTTCAGGGCCTGGGTGGGAAGCGCTGGCAGTTTCTTCAAGTCACTCCTCACCACTTCATTGCTGAAAGAGAGGGGAAGACAGAAAATGCCAGGAAACGCTCTCACCCTCCAAGGATACCACCGCATCGGGCCCCCACATCTGTTCCCTTTTAATGAAAAGTGGTGGGAGCAAAGGGTGCTTTTCTTCAACGTAATTATTTAATTCAGGACACACAACAGGCAGGGTGGGCCTTCTCTCTGGCCCAGAGAGCAGGGCAGGCCAGACTCCCTGAGGGCCCTGCACACAGAGGGGTACAGGCCCAACTCCCCACCCCCAGCAGCAGGAAGCTGGAGAGCAAAAGGTCACCGGTGTCCCCATGGGGGAGGATCCCAAGACCAGCTCCCCAGAACCCCAAGGTAAGGCACGCCAAGAAAGGAAAACCTCACTGCTTTCTCCTTGAGTCTTTTTGCCTCACTAACATACAATGTCTGTTGTCTCTGCTTAGACTGACCACATGTTGGAGGCTGTTTTCTGAAACATGACAAACAAATAACTAGCTTTTGATGAGGCCAGGAAATAAGTTTGAAAATGTGAAGTGGATTATAGGATACTTTTTCGCCCCCCCAGACTACAGGGTTCTCAGATTTGGTGTTCTTCCAAGGCTTGATGCCTCCCAGGACACTGTGCACAGCCTTCTTTCCCACTGGGCCAGGACTGCTGGGTGTTTGTGCCCAATCTCTGTCTCCAGAGGCAATTAGTGGCACCACCCTGGGATGATTCTGGCATGTGGAGGGCGTTTCCCTTATACTGGCTGAACAAAGTGCCTGACAGTCCTGCTGGCAGAACAGAAGCTCACTCCATAGAGTCCTGCCTGGACCCCCAGTTCTGTCCAGGCTAGGACAGCAGTTGCCAGGCTACTCATACAATGCAAAGTGAACACTGGCCACAAGGCCCTTGGGCATTTATACCTAAAAAGAAATGAGCTCAGGAAGGAACACTGAAGTCACAGATAGGGGGCTCCAGCGGTGTTGCAAGAGCAAACACCCCAACACTCTTGGTGCTAAATGGGGGAATGTCTCCTTCCAGGAGTTTCCACCAGGCAGGAAATGCTGCCAATAGCAATGAAATCAGCAGCTACCCTTTGGATACCAACTGTCACAGGGCAAAACCATCCTAATACTTTAAGTTCATTTAGTGAGTGATAAACACATGGATGATGAATGACAGCTTAGCGGCCCCAGAGAGAGCACTGTTCAAGTGGATTAAGGAACTATTTGTCAATCCTGGCTCTGAACAACCAACCAGTAGGGAGAGTTCATATTGTTATTGTCTGAATCTCAACCAAGTACGGGAACCATTACCATCTAAGTGGTGAGGCAAGGATTTATTCACTAATAACCCATAAGTTAGGGAGTCCTTTTCTGTACGAAAGTATTGTAAAGGCTATTAAAAACAGGACAAAGCACAGTACTCACAATTTAGTGCTCACAGTTTAGCGAGGGAGGAAAGAGGGCAAATCAAAGCTCACTGACCACATAGGCAGTGTTTGATCTTATCAATGCAAACTACAAATTCAAAGGTTGAGAGGAAAGAAAGGCCTCTGTGGGCTCTGGTTACAGGCAGGCTTTGGGGAAGCAAGAAAAGGCTAGGAAAGTCATTGTTCTTCATAGTGGAATACAGGAGAGTCAGGGTGGGCAGCCACTGGAACTGGAGATCAACAGAAATGGGTGGTGTGGGGGTGGGGTGGGCAGGGGACAAGCTGAAAGGCAGGGCAGGCAATGAACTGTGGGACTTCTGATGCCAGGCTGTTAGGGTTCATGTGTACCCACAGGCAGGGGTCAGCATCCACCACAGGCTTTCACACAGGTCAGTCCTGGTGTACCAGGACATTTAATTCCCTATCAGGGAATTCAATTCTACTCACATGCTCTCTAGGCAATCTTTAGGCATAGATGAAGCAAGATTCAGCCCACCAAACACTTGAGAGTCTGCAAAGAATTTAATGAGTTTCCAGGTCTTACCTCCTCTAACTATAAATGCCCTGAAAACAGGGATTCCATCCATTGATCTACCAGTGCCCAGAGTAACACCTTAAATATCAAAAGGCACATTTATGAGATGAAACTGTCAAAATTAGTAGCTAATTTGCCCAGCTGAAACTTGAGTTTGGGTTACTCACATCTAAAGTATATTTGGGGAAGGAAGTAAGTAAAGAAGGAAGGGCTCATCTTACCCACCGAACACTAGTTTGTTGGCAAACAAGGTTTCCTGATGGCACTCACAGGTTTGACTTCCTTGCTGGAGCTTGCCATAGTTCTCTAACCCCAGGGCAAGGTTACAAACAAAAATAGAACGAGAAATCACCAAGGCGTGAAGCCCGTCCAAATCCATTACATTCTGGAAAGGATCCAGGACTCATAATCCTTCCCAAAGGACAACTCTGTAGAAATGTTCTATTGCCTTTCTGCTGTCTGTAAACATCTGCAATAATTTAGAGATGGCCGGTCCTATCAAGTGATCTGGCCACACAAGTCAGAGAGCTGCCCTAATGGAAGCCCTGGTCACTCTACTTGTAGAGACCTGGGAAGCTATAACCTAACAAATGTGCTAAAAGTCTCCAGCTCCTCCCCACTGTGTCCTCCACATGGACGTTTCTTGCAAATTCAGTTAACCTGATAAACGCCAACTTCTGAAAAGTTCATGCTCCAACAGTGGCCATGCTTCATTTTTAGAAAAAGAAAATGTCATCTCTTAGAGAGTTACTTGCTAAACTGACTCTAAAATGCAAATCTTCATATTTTGACTATTAACCAGACATTGTGAAAAACTTTTAGGCAGTGTGTTTAGTGTTGCCAGCAAAAAGGTGATCCCTCAACACCAGGTGATCTCTAATTTAGGGGGTTTTTGAGATGCTGTGCCCCTTTGCTACATGCTCAGGAAACATGGCAAGTTTGAATGATCTACCTCAGAAAACAAAGATTTCTAGTAATTCATCCAATAGGGAATTTCCATAAATGAACAGCAATGACAAATTTAACCAAGACACCGTGAAATGCAAAAAGCGAAATTTAAATTTGGCAGGTTTAGCAAAATTCCCAAGGCCTGTTTTCCTTTACATAAAAAGAGAGTTTGCCTTTCAGGAGAGTCCTCGCCAGTCAAACAAGAAGCCCATAATTTATAGGGCAAATATCACACAACAGAATATGCTTAACGTGGAAGAATTCTTACCAAAACCAGTGGTTTTGACCTGCAATGGTGGGAAACCAATAAAGCACTAAACCCAGAATGTTATCCCAGAGCAACATAAAACATGGACCTGAAATTCACAAACGGGAATAAGAAGGTAGAGTCATCTTAACTCTTCCATGTTTTATTAGCATATTGTGAAGGTAAAGTTTCTCCAGGAGAGGGATTTTATAAGTAAAAATCTTAAAAGTTCTAAGAAACATACTGTTTTTAACTTATTTGGTGACAATGATTAGCCCTTCTCTCTCCTACTTGAAGTGAATATCCACCTTTCAGAGGAGTGTTAGATCATAGCGCAGGGGTCCCACCCAGGGTATAAAGGAATACCATGACCATCATCTAAAACCTACAAAGTTTTAAATTTGAAAACACTGAGACCCTAGTGTTTCATGGCTGCATTGTGGGTCTGTATTACTATATTCAAGGGAACAATGAATCTAGAAAACTCTGAGATTGTTCTTCCTGGCTCATCTTTATAAACCATGTAGGAAGCAATTTCTTTCCTTTTGTTTTCTTTTCCTTCTTCCCTCTACCTTTTTTTTTTTTGTGTGTGTGTGTGTGTGACCCAAGATAAAATTGGGTAACAACAAAGAAAATAAGAAGATTGGCTGGCACTCATCCCTATCACCTACTTTCCTTCAGGGGATGATGTCAGCCATTGTGTGCCCGTTTGCAGACACAAGGGAAGTACCTGGAATACCTTAAGCCTCTCCAGCACAGGATTTTGGATTCTGGGCATGTGTCATGGATAAACATGTCATATTAATTTCCTATATTACAAAGGGGCAAAAGTACAAATATTTTTATGAATTACATGCCTTTATTTTTGATGCTAATTGCTAACTTACCTAAGACTTTTTCCTTTATTACTGAGTTTGGTTTCCTAGGGTGATATGAAAGTTTTATGAATTTCTGACTTACTGGTAAATTTGTGAAGTTCAAAATAAGCTAAATATTTTATAAGACAATAATTTAAGACAATAATATTATTCCAACAGCACAAGAAGAAACAATTGATTAATTTTCTGCAATGTCATCCTCTAGATTAGAAACCTCACCTCTGATAAATGAACATAGTGTCATAGCCATGAAGCGTTCCACTATTCACAAGGTCAGCTCAAAATATGATATATTAAATAACTGTTTAACAAAAGAGACACACTGTCATAACATAAAATTTCCTCTTTACTTTATATCTAAACAAGTCTCAGAATTTAAAGAATCTATTCCTGCAAATGCCCCAATCTGAATACTTTTCTATGCTTTACAAATGTGAATTACACACTTGGAAAGTTCAGTAAAATGGACTTTTGTGCACAAGACAAGCTTTTTGTAACAATTTATAACTTTTCCACTTGAACATTTTGTTTCAAATTTTCAGGTTCTGTTTCTTTCCAAAGGTCTTGCTGCTTGACAGATTCCAGCTGCTTCTCCCTCAGTGTCTTCTTTAAATCATGAGAAAACAACAGAGTCCCCTCCCCTGTTTTGCTTATTGTAAAATAATACATGAGAATTATAAACATTTTAATTCTTCCCACAAAAACTCTTCTGTGGGCTCACAGATCATTTCATGTTTAATAGATGCCTTTTTTATAAAGGACATTTCCAAAGGGAAAATGTGCATATGTTGGTTACTGTTAGGTTATATAAATTGTATTCCAATACATTGACTATTCTGAGCACAACTATCTGAGTATTTTCTACTAATCATCTGAAAGTCTCACCCAATCTATTTCTTTTACTATGAGATTAGTGTCAGCTGTTTTCCTTCAAGAGACTAATTAAAAAAATTATAGGAAAATATACCCCAAATGATCAAATGTTCTAATGATTTA